TTTCATACAGGGTCTCACAATGCAGCTTGAACTCATGGTGATCCTCTTGTTTTCAGCCTCCCTAGCTCTGAAGTGACAGGTGTGTGCCACCATGCCCAGTCTCAGTGGCCAGCTCAGCAGATCTGGGGGTAGGGCCAACGAGGTATGAGTGCTGCTCCCAGTGAGTGTGTGGGAGACCTTTCCGCTACCCTGTGCCTGGGGGACCTGTCTGGTCCAAGCCCAGGTTCAGAGAGGGTGAGACTCACTTCCAACACTTGGGACTCCCCCTCACCACTCCTAAGCACCACCCCACCCTGCCTGCCCATTGAGAAATTCTACCATGGTCTGGGGACCCCCAGATCCACTCCTAGCCCAGGCCCAGTGAGTGTGTGGGAGAGCTTCCTCTCCCCCCTACTCTACCTTGTCCCCTCCAGACTCAGCTCAGGCCTGGCATATAGGCCTGGGGTGAAACCCTGCAGCTGAAATCCCTGCACAGAGAGTAGGGGAGAGAACCACCCAGCTAATCCGGGAGCAGAACATCTTGCCAGAGGGGCACAACGGGTTCACTCCCAACAGATGCAGCAGGAAGGAGCTGAGCACAACAGCCAGACCTAAGCCATGCACAGCTGGATAAATACAAATTTTGTAGATCTGCACCTGAATTTTAGTAGGTGTGATGGCTATAACTGCGCCAAAGCTGTACAACAAAGGTCAGAAGACAGTGCTACACAAAATGACAACGAGAAGGAGCAAAATGCAATCTCAGGCCCCAAGCCCACCCATAACAAGTGAAGAGGACACTAACACAGAACAAATTGAGAATCACACAGCTGAAAGAAATGAATCAACAGCTTCTGAAATAAAGAAACAACTGCAGAAAGGTATAGAGAAACTCAGATTGGAAATGCAAAAAGAAATCCCTGAATTAATAACATCTGCAGTAAAGAATCAAGGCAGAAACATATGGAGGAAGCCCAATGCCCAACCAGAACAAGTGCAGAGGTCACTAGCTCAGCTCAAATGTATGAGTTAATAGCGTTGATAGTAAATAAGCAACAGCAGAAAATTATAGAACTGATAGCATCTGAAGAATCAATTATAGAAACATAGGGAGGAAACCCAATCTGAAAAAAAAAACACTGCAGTAAAAGAATTTAAAACTGCTTCTAAAGAAGACATTGACAAAAAATAGAGGAGATTAGAAAAATGATGCATTCCTTGAATGAGCAATACAGGAAAGAAATAGATCGCATGAGGCAGAGTCAAAGAGATATCGAGGAACTTAAAATCTCAATCACAAGCTTTAAAAACCATCAGAGTGAAAGTGAAGACAGTTTTAGATCTTGAAGATGCTGGTGCAACTAGTGAAAAGGTAAGAAAAGTTCTCTTAAAAATAATTAGGATGCAGGAAAAAATAATTTATCACCTGCAAGACAATGCAAAGATGAACAATGTGAGACTAATAGGCATCAATGAGAAAGAAGGAGTCAATACAAATGACATTAAAGTTGAGTGAAACGACCCAGGGCCGCGGGATCCTGAATAGACCCAGAGCGCAGGCCCGGTGAGTGAGTGACACTACCTGGGGCCCTCTGGATCCTGAATAGACCCATTGTGCAGGCCCTGCGAATGAGTGAGACGACCCGGGCCACGGGATCCTGATTAGACCTAGAGCACAGGTCCTGCGAGTAAGAGTGAGACGACCCAGGGCCCGCGGATCCTCATTCGACCCAGGTTGCAGGCCCAGCAGGGAAGCCTTCAGCAGAACTCCCTGCAAAGAGGCTAGAGGCAAGACCCACCATGCTGATTCAGGAGCAGAACATCTTCCCAGAGAGACACAAAGGGTTCAACTCTAACGCCTGCAGCAGAAAGAAGTGGAGCACA